AGGTTGAATTGTTGGGAGGCTAACTGGAGATGAGAAAACGGAATTTTGTGGTGATAAATGTAACTATCATTCATGTGACCCTGGAAGAATATTTCTTCTTTAGGAAAGGATTGATACCACATTGAGATTGAATATTGAGCTCCAAGGAAGATATCTCCTGCTGGTTGAGGCAGCTGTGTAAGCAGCTGAGTTTACCTTAAAAGGAAATTTTCCCATCTCCTAGAGTGTGGCGTACAGTTTGTAATAGAGGGATAGATTGGACAATGCTATTAGTGAGTTCTCTGTGTGGCTAATTTAAAGCCCTATTGCACATGGTGGGGGAATACTGCTCAACAGCCAGGATTTGATATTTGTCTTGTGATCATTTGGCATGAGTGTTCCCATTGCTTAAGCTGATGTCTTTGCCAAAAGGATCTCTGGCTTCAATTTCACTCCTCTGGGAGGAAGCATCAGTGCAATTCATACCAATCTTCCTGGAAGAGCTGCAATGTCCTTATGAGGCTGCAAAGATGACATTTTCTTTTTAGTTCAGTTACCTTTGGAAGCAGAGCACATGCAAACAGCTGTGTGCAAGTCAATCTTGTTTCTCCTTTTCAAAATAGCCTTGAAATCATTGGTTTCCATCAACTTTGACAGAGGTGTCTAAGGTGTGAGTTACTATATATATTAAAAAAAAAAACCAAACAAATGAAAAAGCTTCATATAAGTTCAAAGACAGTTCTGCAAATGACTGCAGAAGAAATAACGTTCAGCCTGCCTTAGAAGGTGGAGGTGGGCTTGTGTGATCCCATACAAATTGGGGTGGGAGCTCTGGGTGCTGAGGGTGGTCATCTGGGGAATGTTGATCCAAAGGAGGGACCCAGGGAGATCAGCCTCAGTGATGGAGTGCTTGGGGAGGTTTGGGTTGTTCTTACTGTTTCAGAAATTGGATTTGGTTCAGAAAGAACTATCTAGTATTAAAAACATGAAAGAAGCAAGGGTTTGAAAGTGTCTATCTTTTTCTTTAAGCAGTGTTTGCTAAAGCAGGTTATGACCCTCTTTATAGAAGAATTTGGCAGCTGTTATCTGAAGGGCTGAAACTGTAGCTGAGATCCTACAGAGGTGAAAGTGGGGGGCTATTAAACAGGCCCTAACACCTACTCAGGGTCTCATTCCTTTCTCTCCTTTTTCTTCAGCCATCACCAGAATGACCTCCTGCTTTTTAGGAACAGAGCAACAAGCATTTGGCTGTGCCCAGTTTTCATTGTTTCTCTAAGCCGTCACGCTGGAAGAGATTAACTAGGAAGTGAATTTTCTCCGAAAGCCCATCTTGAGGGTGGTGAAGGGAAGAGCCTTGGCACTGACCTTGGTCAGAGTGCCTTGGGGAAGGCAGTGTGACCTGAGCATGGAAACATTAACCTGGGGCCGAGCAGTTGGCTCTGATGGCAGCTGGAAGAGTTGCTTTGTCAGAGCTGGGCCAGCTCAGTGCACACTGCCCTTGTGCTATTTATCATCCAGGTTCATTTTTAGCAGCAGGGAGGGATGATTGCTTCTCCCATTCTTCCCCTTGTATTTGTCCTCCTGCTCCTAAACTTTCAAAAACTTCCTTGCCAATCATTTTTTCTATTGGCATCTTTCTCTGCACCTACGCTTGTTTTCACTAATGTTTGGCATCCTTGCTGCAGCTTCTCTCCTTTTTCTTTCCACCCTGGAACTCAATAAACAAATTGTGTGGCTGTAAGTCCTTAAGTAGCTGTGTTGCTATGTTTTCTGTGCTCTTCAGAGAAGCATGGAAACCTGTCTTTGTTCAGTCCCAGGAGCGCGGCATGCTGCTGCAGCTACCAAAGAACAGCTTGCTTGTGGCACATCGAGCTGCAGCTTGGTTTAATCCTTGCTTGATACGCTTTTGAGATTTTATTGTTTCTCTATAATTAAGTGCTACAGCAGAGCTGAAAGAAATGACGAATTAGCAGGAGAGGGGGGAGCAGGGAGAGCAGGTGGTGATCGAACCAAGAGAAGCGGGAGCAGCAGGGAATTGATGGGGAGGAGCCTTGAGTTGAGATGCTTCCCTGCCATGTGCCCAGAAGGATTTAGTTTTGGATTTCATTACTGTTCAAATAATGCCATACGCCCATAGGAGACTGAAGCCTCAGAGGCTGGGTATTGTCCAAGCACTTAGTGAGAAGCAGTGTTTGCCCTGAAGTTTTAGCAGGCCTGGATTAGAGAGTAGGACAGAGCTGTAGTGTGGTCCTGTTTCTAATTATTCTGCATCCATTGTTTCCTTTTCCATGGTGTAGTAACATCTTTAAAAATAAATGAGAACACAGGACCACTCTTTGTGTAGTCATTTCTATGAAGCCCAGGACTTGAAGTCTCTTCTCTTGAATGATTTCATCTGTAGCAGTGATTGAATCTCCTGTAGTGGTGTTGTGCGTGGATTGTAAGTAGCATCTCTGCTGCACAGGCTGATACCAGCAGGATTTGAGCAGCACAGAAATGCTGGTGTGCCACATTGCAGGATATTGCAGCCAGGAGAGCTTCAAATCAAACACTGCTGTGTTGGTGATGACTGTGGGTAGCTCTAGGACCAAGTCTGTAGTGCAAATCTGACTGAAGGGTGAGAAGGTTTGTATTACAGGACAGTCTTCTGAGGTGCATTACTGAGATGTGATCATACAGCATCCAGCTTGTCTTCATCTCTAGTTTATGATGCACTGAGGCATCCAAAGGAAGAAGTCATAATACTGCAGCTTTGAATGTGTCAGCAGTAGCAATTCTGGGATCTGACTCTTTCCTAAGGAATAACAGTCACAAACCTTTACTTCTTTTGTTCTGACTTCCAAAGGTCTGTTGCTGTATGGAGACTTGCAGTAGATGAAATGCAAGCATAACTCCCTTCTCCTGCCTTTTGTCACCACTTCTTCATGCTCTGCTGTGTATATCCTGAGTCAATTTGTGTGTTTTCACTTCTTTCTCCCTCAAAGCAGAAGCAAAGAACTTACAGGAGCAGATTAGGGATGGAGAGGGGTAGGTCCGTGCCACCAAGGGCTTCCAGTGAGTGGCGGTGAGTCCTCTGTGCGCTGCCTGCCAGGTAGAGTTTGCTTTGGCACAGTTGCTGCATATTTGATGTTGTATATATTGCAGCCATGCTGCTGGCAGTCTAGCCAACGCCAAGTCAAAAACTCCTCCTGGATTTTCAATCTTCTGTCATCTCCATCCTTTGCTCAGAAGTCCTTATGTTTGCTCAAGCTCCATTTTCAAAGTTCCTGATAACTATTCTTGCCCCTGTTGTGCTTTTTTTTTTCCCTCTGGTACTTTGTTTTGCACTCTGCTAGGAATAGTCCCTGAAAATTAAAATGGTTGTGAGTAACAAATAGTCTTGAACTTCTTTAAACCCCATTTCACAGAATCACAGAATGGCCAGGGTTGGAAGGGACCTCAAGGATCATGAATCTCCAACCCCCTGCCACATGCAGGGCCACCAACCCCCCCATTTAGTACTAGATCAGGCTGCCCAGGGCCCCATCCAATCTGGCCTTGAACACTTCTAGGGACGGGGCATCCGCAACCTCTCTGGGCAGCATTTGGTTCATGAAACAGTACAGCTTGAGCACCCTGCCATTTTGTGTTCTACATGCTGCTGCTTTCTGCCTTTAGAATGGAAACTCTTTCAGTGCAGCCAATCAACTGGCAAGCTGGAGCTGTTGCCCCAAGTCTGCCTGCAACAACATGAAGTGAAACTCTTGCGAGACGGTGCTGGTTGAAGATTAGAGGATCAAGTTCAGAGCTTTCTCACTTATTCCGTGTGACTTTGGATGGAGCAGGTTTTCTTTTAGGACCAGGTTTCAAGTTCTTTCTCCAACGTGGCACTTAATATTTCAGTTTGGCTGTGAGTTGACGTCTCTTGCTGTGAGATGGTTGCTGTGGGAAGCTTCAGTAGGCTTTGCATAGAGACTGCCAGCTTTTGTCCCTGGTTTATCTGAATGTCCTGGAAAGATTGTTTGCAGAAATGTTGTGGTTGATCTGTATGGAAGAATCCTGAAGTAGGTCGTATAGTATTAAAATGGGAGAGCCTTCTAAAACAAGTGTTTTATGCCACAATGCAGAATGGATATTGGATTTTTTTTATAGATTTTCATAGAATATTGGCAATAGGAAATTCCTGAGCTTTCACATTTATCCTACTGCTTTTCTTACTCTGGAATTGATTCCTTTCCAGTGAAGTGTGCTAATGTGATGAATCAAGATCAGGGTAGAAAGCAAAGCAACAAGGTGTCCTATTGCTAAGATGCAAATATTGCAGCTCTTTCTAGGGGCTGAAAAATATAGGTCTATAATTGCTTTGTTGATTTAAATCTCACTGTTGCACAGTCCTTTTGATAACAAAGGATATGATAGTACTGAGCAGTTTAAATACAAAACTTTTGTGCCTGCTTCTACTAGTTTGAACAGCTTTAAATGACAGCGTTTTCTCCCTGTTTGAATTTAAATGTTCTTTGGTTGAGGTTTTCAGATACCAGAGTATTGTGCCACTAGCTGAAAAACTGAACAGGCTTGAATGAAGCCTGCCTCGTGCTTTTGCATAAAACAAGAGGGAAGCTGTAAAGGGAATTAGTACATAAAACTATTTGAGAAATGTCATTAGTGCTGGTAGCAAAGAGTATGGCTTGTTTCAACACTCTGGGTGAACACACCAGGTTAAAAGCATGACATCAGTGGCTTGTCTTTTAAAAGAATCAGCCCTCTGTTATAAGTAAACTGGAGCATGTTTTTTCCTGCATAGCTGTAATGGTTCCTCATGAAGACCCCCTTGTTTGTGCTGGGTTATCCCAGCTCTTTGATGCTGCAGCTGAGCTGTTGAGTTGTCCAAGGGGTCAGTGCCTATGGGTGGGCTTCCCTGGGTTGTCACCTGGCTCTGCTGTCTCTAGTAATGGGCACTTATCCCTTTGTTGTCTGACCTCCCTTCCTTCCTGCAGGAGTCCTGTAGGATGATGTTAACCATCTCTTTCTCCCACCCACAGGGAGCGGAGCGACAGCTGTGGTGCAGGCAGCCTTCTGTGTTCCAAAGAAGGAGAAGGTGGCAATTAAACGGATCAATCTTGAGAAGTGTCAGACGAGCATGGATGAACTCCTGGTATGCAACCAAAACAGTCTGGCGAATTGTATTTCAGCTAACATCATCTGTTTGCTTACTGAGTGCCTTTAAAGGACCTTCCTTGAGGTGGTGTGAGAAGACCTGACTGATATAGCTGAAGGCAGACCAATCCCTGGTTGTGGGGCACAGTCCTTAAGAAAATGTTAAAAAGATCAATTGTTGGAGAACTTCAAGCTGTTGTTTAGAGCTAAGCATTCTGTGTAATCCCTTTGTTTTGAATGGGGTTACTGTACAAGTGTAAAGCCCAACTGCCTGTACAAGAGCTGTGCAGTGGAAGCTAAGTGCTTCTGGGAACCTTACAATTTAGGGGAGTGGTTTTGCCTTCTCTTCCTGTCCTGCAGTTCTTTATATTCTCTCCTTCACCTGTAAAGAGAGAAACTGAATATGCTAGCTCTTGTTCCTAATTTGTTGGTAGTATTGATATCATTTGAGGGGGTCACTGATGTATTACAGGCTGCTGTATGGAAATACTCTCTGATTCTCAGTTCAGTACAGGAGGTGGACTCCTCTGGATCTGTAGCTCTGTACTTTTCTTCTGATGTGTGCCTCTGAAGGTTTTCTCAATGGAAAACAACTTCAGGCACGTTGCCATGGTAACTAAAATTTGCTTTCTGTTGTCAGGCTTGTATGTTGATGGGATTTTCCTGCTATATTGTGTGTGAGAGCTGGTGTTTCTAGTGCAGCAGACTGCATGTTCGTCTACATGTAGAAAGTCCCTGGTTTTAAGCCAAACAGAGAGAGGCATTCCTATGAACATGGTGTCAACATTGAAGCTGTGAAAGTTCTCTTGGATAAAGCTTTCAATAGTAAATAATGATCAGCAGGATCTGAGGAGAGGCAGGGAGCAGATCTTATACCACCTTTCCTTTTAAAGCAACTCTCCAGGAATTTCTTAATCCTTCCTGTATTTGCATTTGCATCCTGACAGCTTCTGTGGTGTTAACCCAGATGCTGATTTTGGGGATCATGATGGGAAAGCAGAACAGAGACAGAATGCAGGTGTCCTGGCTAGTTCTACATGTGTATGATCTTCAACAAGTCACATGAACTACAGTTCCAGTTTCCATACAGTGTCTAATGCTGTTTTTATCATCGTAGTATCTACAAATATGCTCTTGTAAAGAGGAAAGGCTCCATTCAAGCTGTCATGTTTTAATGTGCTTGTGAAGGACTGCATGTAGGACTCTCTCTTAAGATGACCTGCATTCAAGCTCTGTTACAGCTCTTGTTAGCATAGGGGTTGCAGATTGCTTCCCTTTTCACAGTCAGTTTTTCTGTCTTGAGTACTGTCCCTTGGTACTCTTTCCAAGTCTTTTATGTGGCTTATCCCTACTTCTGTGCCTCAGTAGTATGCCAAACAGAATTGTCACAATCTACTAATTGAGATTGTTAGTGTTTGAGTAATTGCCAGTTCCAGCTAAAAGGGTTAGGTTCAGAAAGATACACTGCAGAGACTTGGCATGTAATTTTAGATAAGTATGTCTAATTGCATATTTTAAATCTCTCGCTGACCTGTTGCTCACAATGGCTCGACTTGTTATGGTAGCACTGCAATGAAAGGCTCTTGTCAGGTCTCAGTTTCCAATTTTGTTACCAAGTAGAGTGTGGGTCCTTCTGCAGGCAAAAGCAGACATGTTATAGGTCTGTTGTGAAGGCAGACATTTACATCTCAACATAGTGTTTGTTAATGCCTGGGATGAAGGCAGGTCTTTCTATACCTGCTGTCAGACTCTTCGTGACTTGCCTAGTAGCTTTTTGTAGTCAGCACTTGTGTTATGTGGCTCCAACAGACAAACTTGGGCACAGCCTGCAAAAATAACTTCTTTAATAGTGAGATGTGGAAAAGTGAAGAGAACCTGATGGTAAATAACCTTCCAACCAAAACCAGTTAATCTGTCCTCAGATGTAACATTTCTTTGATGTGCTTCAACATGATTTTATTCTAACAGCATCATACAGCTCCTTCAGAAGGTCAGGTTCTCCTTTTTCACTCTGATACGGTAGTCTGACTGGTTCTCTTTTTCTGCATACCTCAGAAGACAAATTCTTAATCTGATCTTTGAAATAAGCCTCTGTGCCATGTCTTCAGTTGTGTTGCCAGAGACTGTAGCCCTCCTAGAAACCTGATTTGAGAAACACAAGTAAGTGATTAGTGCCTGATGCTTCAGAGCAGAATGCAGTATTCAAACCCTGGACAATTTTGGGATAATCTCTTGCTAAATAAGTTCTTGTTCTGACGTGTAACAGTTGAGCTCTTATTTATCCAGATTTAAATTGATCTCTTAATTATTTTTGAAAATGTATCAAAAATGCAACTATGGTGACTTGAAATAATGAGAGGAGGAAGATGTTTTTTGAGCTGCTGTAGCTTTCTGGGACGGGTCACCAAGGTAGGTGTGTTTTATGGGAAAGAGTCTTTTCCTTTGATTTGTTCTGAATTTCAGCTTATTGAATGTTGTTTCTCAATGAAAGAGTCAAAAAGATTAAAGCTCCTGATCTCCCTGCTCTTCCATGCTTCTTAATCTTGTCTCCATATTTGCTTCTTCTCCAGAGTAAATATTTTCACGGTTTTCAGTCTTGCGGTCTCCCTTTGTGCCAGTTTCCTAGATCTGTTTAATTACCTTTTTCTGAGCAACCACTTGTTATTGCAGGATTATTTTTTTCTCCAAAGCCCACAAATGCAAGCCCTTGTGGAGTACAGCTCTAAGAAATGAGTGCAAAGAGAAATATGGTGAGTCCATACTAATGCTATGCTCCCTCCTTGCTTTCTCTCCTCCCCTAATGCTGTTAAAAGCATGAAGTTGGGCTTTTATTAGATCCATTATCCTTCTATTGCACTGAGGGTATCCAGGCACAATAGTCAGCTTATGGAAAACTTTGTTCTGTCCCTCAGGCAGTAAATCAATGCTCTCATATTACAGCAGTGCCCAGCCATCAGAAAAGAGAAAATCTAACTTAAAATACATTTTTTTCTTCTAATTCTACAGTGCTTCCGAGGTATCTGTAGATGAGGAAATGTAGGAGCACCTCTTAGCTTGTGAGATGCCTTGTCTAGAGTGATTAAACTGGTCTAATAGTAGAACTTGACTCATTAAAAGTATTGATTTTGATCCTGATATCTCCACATCCACTCAGGCTGTGTGGGCAATCAGGGATAACCTGCATCCTTGGCAAACGCTGCGTGACATTCTAGGTTACTGCAGTGGATTGGTTTCTTTCTGCTATAGTGTATGGAAAGGCACAATTTTAGGAAGGAATGATTTTTGTTGCACTGAGCAAACCAAGTTGAGATCATTGAGGTCTTCAGATGGAGTGATAACTGCTGTAAAGAACACAGACTGAGAGGCATAATGCTATTTAGAGATGTGGTTCTCTCTAGCTCAGCTACCAAATCAGGTGGTACTAGTCAGGAATTGATTTTTATACTTGATTTCTTTTTTTTCTTTCCTCCTGTGCATTAAATGTTGACGGGTCTTTCCTAGAAGGCCTATGAAGTTCATCTGGAAGGAAAGTACAATACAGCTCATTAATGATTCCTGCTCAGCAGTGTGTACTTGTCAAATATGGTGACATCAGTCTACTACTGGTCTTTGGGGCTTCCCTAGTTGTTATTTCAGTTCCACTTCTTGTCTTGCAGCCCACAGTAGATAAATGCATGTGAAGTGCTGTTTAAGTTTGTTGAAAACAGCCAACTCGTGTTTCACAGCTGAATGTTGTTTCCTACTGTATTGCTCTTCCCTCTACTTTCTATATGGAATGTAGTTACTGCAGTTGCTTGTCCTTGAAGCACAGTGGCATAACAGCTGCCTCAAAATAACTGCCTCAAGCTTTGTTCTTATACAGATGTCTTCTTGTAAAGAATTATTGATCTTAAAGGCCTTAGATTTCTTTTCTGTCCGTCAGGCTCAGCTTCGTTTTCATACAATTAAAACAGAGTTAGCTTTCTTTCATCCACATGGATTTTTCCTTGCTTTTGAGAAGCAGATGATAGGATTTCTCTCTGTTTAACAGTTGGTGGGAATGTTGAATAGCTATAAGGGTGTGTCACAGAATGACAGAATTGTAGGGGTTGGAAGGGACCTTAAGAGATACAACCCTCCTGCTAAAGCAGATACCCTATAATAGGTTGTACAGGAAGATGTTTGGATGGGTCTTGAATATCTCCATAGAAGGAGGCTCTACAACCTTTCTGGGCAACTTGTTCCAGTGCTCCATCACCACTACTGTAAAGAAGTTCTTCTGTATATTAGTATGGAACTTCCTATGTTCAAGTTTTAGGCCATTACTCCTTGTCCTATTGCTGTGTGCTGCTGAGAAGAACCTGGCCTCATCTCTTTGCCTCCTGCCTCTCTTTAGATATTTATAAACATTTATCAGATTCTCCTCTCCCTCCCCATGTCTTTTTTTCCCTAGGCTGAGCAGACCCAGGCTACTCAGCCTTTCATCATATGGGTGATGCTCCAGGTCCGTAATCATGTTTGTTGCCTTCCACTGAACTCCTTCCAGGAGATCCCTGTCTTTTTTTTGAGCTGGGTAGCCCAGAGCTGGATGCAGTAGTCTAAATGTGGCAGAATAGAGAGGGAGGATCATCTCCCTTGACCTGTTAGCCGTGCTCTTTGTAATGCATCCCATGATTCCATTGGCCTTCTTGGCCACAAGGGCACACTTCTGGCTTGTGGCCAACCTGTTGTCCACCAGGACCTCCAGGTCCTTCTCTGCAGAGCTCTGCAGAGCTGTTTTAGATAAGTCTTTCTCAATTGTGGGAGCTACAGAGGCAGCAATGCTTTCTGAGTTATTCAGTAGAGGACAAGTTTGGGAGACAGAGTCCAGAGATGGACATGACAGGTTTTATACATAAAGGAGAGAAGTGAGGGTGCTACTTTCTTCTACTCCTGTGGTCAGAGGGTAAGGAAGCTGAGGGTAACAAATCTAACTACAATAGAAATATATGTCCTTTTGAATTTCATGGAATTGGCCTG